AAACATTTTGGGTTGAGTGAAATGTCTTGCATTGAACAAAATGATGTTTCTGCCAGCAAGAGGCCTACACTATACTGTTTTGGAAATGCTGAGGGAGCTCAGGGAATGGGGATGTGGAAGCCCCCAGATGCCCCCTGCTGGGTAACAGCTTTCTTTTGGCTGGTTAGTGTCATGGGAGGATGAGTCTTGCCAGTGGGAATGACTCCAGCCCAGTGATGTGGGCTGCAGTGCTCCCAGGGTCTGTGTGGTTTGCTCTCTGGTTGTTTTCTGAACCTTAGCTGACTGAACTGTAGGGAACTGGAAGCAGCTCAATAAATACACATTGATCTCCTATTTAAAAATTACACAGTGTGTTGCTCAAGGGTTTGGCAGCGGGAGGCTCTTCATAATGTGTGGGAGGCATGTCTAGGAGGTGGACACACTGAGTCTTAGGCCATGATGCCATTTCACACAGCACTGTTGGCAGCTGAGTAGTTGTGCTTTCCGCTACCCTTAATGATTTGGGTACCCGTAACCAGGATTTCCTTTTATGTGTACTCAGATTTTCTTGGTCTTCCCTCAGTTCCTTTACTGTATTCAGTCCTCCTTGCTCCCCAGCTTTCCACATCTCTTTGCCTTTGGTATTTTTACTAGAGACAGCTTTTTAATTTTTTTTATAAAGGCGCTAAGGAGCTCAGGTACTGAAGAAGAAACATTCATTAAACCTCCTTAGCTCTTTGACGTAGGAGCTGACTTTTCATTCTGTATACCCAATACCTTGCACACCTGGGGCCATGGCTGGGGTTACTAAATGACACAGTAATACAAATGCTACTACCTAGCTATAATTGGGCCTACAGGGCTGGCACCATTTAAAAAAACCAAAAAAACAGTCACTTTTCTGTAGTTAGCAAACCTGGCGCATCCTAGAGGGAGTCTGGTAAGCAACCACAATTTCTCTTGTCATAAAGCCATGCCACAGAGTGGCCCAGCCCAGTCAGCAGAGTCCTTTGCCTCTTCATTTTCTAGACAGATTCACTCTGCAGTTTACCTCATTTGAGGCTCAGTCTTTTGGGGTTTCTAGGCCACAGCACTACCACATAGGCCATAAAAGAGCTTGTCTTATTCAGGAGTAGCTGGTCTTAACTTGATGCCACTCTCTGCAGATCTTATGCCAAGAGATGTACTGTCTCTGCTAGCGTCCATGGTTCTAGGCCTGGCGTAAGGGAGTTTGTTTTGGAATAGTGTCTTGCCACACCTCTGCCACCCTCAGTGGGGCAAAAGTGTAAGGCGCTGCTGTTGTTTCCACACTTGCAAACATGCCAGCAGTGGGAACAGGGTGTATTCCTGTGTGGAGAGGTGAAGTCTGGGGTGGGAGGCCTGCTGCTGGACAGGACAGCTCAGGAGGAAAGAGCAACGGAAAGACACCTATCAGGTGATTCAGGCAGAGGGCTGGCATTTTACCTCTGTTAACAAATCACTGTGTGGGGACTTTGAACAAACCAGTTGACTTCTCTGTCCCTCCATCTCTCCACTGGTAAAATGGGGATTTTCTTGCCTGACAAGGGGATCGGAAGCCAGCCTTACTGGGGAAACACTTTTTCCTCCTCGGGTGGAAAGTGCTAGAGAAGCACAGAAGACTGTGATGATGATTTCACACTAGCATTCACCCTGGCTCTCCAGAGCAGGGAGATGTGGCTCCGCCATTGTCCAGAGGCAGGGCTGAGGAAGCTGTTCTGTGCACTTACTCCCACAAGGTCCTTTCAGATTGACTGGATAGGAGGAGGAAGGGAGGGCAGTGCAATAAGACCACACACCAGCTCCAAGTGCTGTGCTTAATGTCACAGCAGCCCCGAAGGCGTGTCTGTACAAATGCTCCAGAATTGCCTAATGTGCTGGAAGTCCCTCTGTTTTGAACTTATGCATGCAGGAGTAATACCCTGGCCTATAAAAGTTACTGACCCACATTCAAAATGGTGGTGGCCATCGTCTGAAACATGATTATAGCTCATGCAACATCTATATTCAGTAGTGTTGCCAAAGGGACTGAAGGCTTTGGAAGCATTTGTAGGTTTCTCATTATTCTGTTCTGGGAAAAAGCTTTAAAATAATGGGACATAAATTAATTACACACTGAAAAGAATGGCAGAATGTTATTAGATACTTGGGAGTTAATTGTACTGCTGTTAATCATGATGTATTCTAATGGCATCGGTAGGGATGTAATATGTAATTCCATAGGTATTCCAGAGTAATTTAGCAATTTAATTAATTTCTGCTAATACATTTTAAATCACTTACTCTGTTCCCTCTTTTTCTCCCAGGGAAGAGAACAAAATGTCTTCGCTCCTTGCTGTCCAAATCCTGCGCTGTTCCAAGGTCATTTCTGTCAGCCAAGATGTCACTTTATTTTTTCCATATACTTTTCTTCCCTCTCAGTTTTTATTTCCATTGGAGACCCTCCCTCCCACCCCCCTGAAGTCATCTTTGGGGGAAAATGATGTCCATGGAATTACAAAATGTGGTCATAGCTGCTTTCTTTTTTAATAGGCAAATATTAGGGCTGTGCGAAGTTTTGCTGGCAGTTTCGTTTTGACACTGTTTCGACTTGTTTCAAGCTTGAAACAGCAAAATTGAAATGAAACGGAGAGCTTTGAAACAGCCTCAAAACAAAACGAAGCAAGTCGAAACATTTTGAAATTCGAAGCTCAAGCTGGGCTTGCCTGCAGGGAAACAGAAACTGAAGTAAGGGGGGGGAAGGGAGGGGAAAAAGGACTGCTCTCATTATTGACTGTGTAGCTGGCCAGTGACTGTCATCCTTTCCTGAGGTCTCTTCCAATCCCAGTGCTTTGGGGGGGATGGAAAAACTGCATAAAAGGCAGCATTGTTTGAACTGCCCTGCTTTCTGCCTTTGTGTCAGTCAAGTGAGGGCGCACCTTAACACGCACACAGTTTCACCCACCCATGTTACAAGTGTTGCCTGTCAGCACGTAGAGGTGCAGGGCCCCAAAATCCAGACTCCCCCTGCACCTATCTCCTTGACAGCTGGCAGGCTTCGTGGCCGCAGCAGGGCTTAGGAGGCCTGCAGTTTTCACCCCCTGTGCCCCAAGTCGCACACAGTCCCATAAGCACCCATGTCGCGAGTTTTGCCAGAGGTGCAGGGCCCCAGAACTGAGAAGCTGCTGCACCTATCTCTTTGAAAGCTGGCAGGCTTTGTGGCCTCAGCAGGGGCTAGCAAGCTGAAGTTTTCACCCGGCTGTGGCTTAACACATACCTGTGACACAAGTTTTTTGCTTTCAAGACTTTGAGGTGCAGTTTTCCTGAAACCCCTGCATCTATCTCCTTGAAACTTGGCAGGCTTCGTGCCCTTAGAAGGGGTACCATTCCTGCAAGGTTCATCCAAATCAGGCCAGAAATGACAAAGCTATAGGTTGTTTTGAGCTTACCCATTATTGCCTATAGGCGAAATGTTGAAACAGCAAAACTGTTTTGACAAAACGAAACGGAACAGCAGTTTTGAATCTAAATGAAATTCGAAACAAAACGCTGTTCTGTCAAAATGGAAATATGTCCCATGGAGAGTAGATCAGAACTGGGCAAACTTGTTCTGATAAATAATAAATATGCTGAAAAATGTAGTTTGGAAGGATGAAAACTACTTGAGAATTCGGGTGGAATTCAACAAATAATTCCAGCCAAAATGCCAAAGTGCTTAAACTGGCACATAACCCACTGGGAGGTGTGGATTATAGTAGCACAGTCGCCCCTACCTTTGGCTGGCCCACAGGTCTGAGCAAGACTTGTGCAATGGACAGCTTCATACTTTGCTCCCCCTGTGCATCTGTGGGAACACGCATCGGTGGAAGGCAAAACATCCATTGTGGTTCCTTACCTGCCAAGTGGGTTCTGTGAGCATGTTAGAAAGTTTAATCAGAAGCTGTGTAACACATTCCCTTTAGTCCTTCCATGTTAAGTATGGAGTTTGTTCTCCTGAGAGAGCAGACTCAGAGACTAACCCACCAGGTTGGGCCAGTAGGACTTCCAGGGCCAGAAATGGGAGCAGAATTAACAGCCTGGTGTTTTGGGGGAGAAAAGCAGCGTGACACCCTGTTGAAGAGGAGGCAGGGAGGAGCAGCAGCACAGCCATAGTGTGTGTGGCAGGAGGAGAAGTGCAGTGGGGTAAAGGTGGCTGAAAAATAGAATCTCCATCCTTTGTGAAATCCCAACATTTCAAACAGGGTTTTCCTCTGGACTTGGAATGAAAGCTGGAAACATCTGTGAGAATTCAGGGATGTTTTGCTTTGTAACCATAATATCCCCCTCTTTCCCCCAGCCCGCCCCCACAAATCCTTTTAGAACCAGATTAGATGCACCTGAAGCATTATGTTATAAAGAGGCCAGCACAGAATTATCCCGTTTGAATTTGATCTTTTTTCAACTGAAAATTTCCTCGCAACTGAAGTATCCCCACAAAACATTTCAGCGCTGAAAAAAGGGTGATTTCTGACAGAAGACTCTTCTGCCAAAAACATTTTTAACAGCTCTAAGCAGCACCATGGGGAGCAGCACCATGGGGAGCAGCCTATGGGGACCACGTAGGCCAGAAACATGCTCTGTAGGGAGAAGGGGACGGGGACCTGTCTATACCACAACAGACAGTGTTTTGGAGCGTTGCTGTGAATATATACTCTACCCAGTCACTCCTACTCTGCCCGCAAGCATTCTTAAAAAGTATCATGTAGCATCTCTCATGAGTCTGCCCAGACCGAGAGCCCAAAAGCAGCACTGGTTACACAATAAAAAGCATCAACATGTCATTGTTTTAGAAGTTGGTGTATGTAGAATTAGAATGATTGGGCATGGCATCTTTTTACGGCAGTAGTCCCTACCACCTACATGTGGTTTGGAGAAGGTGGTAATGACAGAGGCTGCTTTGGCTTTAGAAGAAACTAAGCAAGATGAGACAAGAGATGAATTATTTACTCTACCTGCTCCATGAAAGAGAGACAAACCTGTGAAGCCCATTTGTTCTCATTGGGATTTTATTATGGTTCAGCTGCTCCCACCCCAGGGACCCACGTGAGCCCCCCACACCATGCACATACCCAAAGGGAAGGAGATTTGTATATGGTGCTGAGTCCCAGCCCTCCTGCCACCACATGGCACAAGTAGAGCTTTCTGCAATTTTTTGGAAACATTTTATTTTAAAAAATATAGTAGCTGTGGAAAGCAGCCCTCTTTATAAACACTGATGCTGGAGCAAAATGCATCATCGTTATCATTGTTATCATCATTATTATTAGCTCTCCGCAGCATTGGCTTCCCCTTGTGTTGATGCTGGCTGGTTTCACCAGAGCAGCTGCACTGCCCTGCATCATATGTTCTAGTCAGGAATGTTTGTACCACCAGAAAGAGAAAGAAGAGGGGGAGAGAGAAAGACCCTTCTAAAAATAGAAATATTGTGCTGAGTTGTTTGAAGTGAACGAGATACATAAAACACCAGCATTAGATTAACATTAGCTTGTCAAATATTACTCCTAGCAGAGTTGGTTTAGTGCACTGGCAGCGATGGATACCCCCCTGCTTTCTTCCCAACCGGCAGCCTTAGCAGAATAGCACAAGGCAAGATATATTTATAGTATTGGATGCTGCTCTTTGTATAGTTGCTACTGGAAAGAGGAGTCAAAGGAGCTGTTTCCAGGAGATTGCCAACTAAAATAAACCATGCCCCCTACCAAAACCCCCCAAAAACCCAGGTTGGAACTCCCAGGAGACGTTATAAATAGGAAACTGTAAACACAACAATTTGAATAAAAGACACCTACGATCACAGGATTTACTGGTTCAAATACCCCTCCCCTATCCCCACTCCATAAAATGGACTCTGGTAAGAAAAATCTTCATTCCAGACTTGGAGCAAAAGTGAGGTTCTTAAGGAAGGGAGAGAGACAGAAATCTCAGCATCAGGGAACTTGTCTGGGCAGGGAGAAATGGGTAGAAGGAAAACTGGGGACATAGCTGGTTCAGGTCCTTTGCAAGTTCATTTGGTTTGTCTGGAGGACTCCTAGGGTTATACCTGAGATGAAGAGGTCTAGGGGACACTCCACTGTTTGATTAAAACATGGTAGGGGTTTTGTGCCTGGAAGAGCTCTGCCTGCTGGGACTTGTCCTTCACACCCACCCCATGCAGTAAGAGAGCAACATCCCACCTCCCTCCACCCCCAGGGCAATCTGAGCAAATGCTGATGTCCAGGGGTGACTTGTCATGTATCCAGAATCTCCCTGGTGGGTGACGGCTCATGAGGAATGACCTGTGTACTGTGGATAGTCTGATTGTGAGAGATAGAGTTCTGCTGGAGCTCCAGAGCAATGGCATTTTGTGGGAACTCTTTCACCTGTTTCTTATATTCTAAGAAAGTGCATGCCTTAGTGGCTATGGCAATGATGTTCTTGCCAATAAAGATGGTGGAGACCCTGCTGTCTTGGAACAAGACCATGTTGATGGCCCGGATGAATATAGTGACAATATTGATGGTGACCAGGCTAAGGACAGGGTAGAGCATCATTTTCTGTGGAGCTATGTGCTCCCCTTGCATGCTAATTTCACTGAGAGAGACACAAGGCAGGATCAGGAGCAGAATGTAGCAATAGAAGAACATGAGCCCTTCTGCCCAGATTGGCAGCCCAGTCTTGTGTGGTTCCCACAGGTTGGCCTGAATGTCTAATATATCCAGCAGGTCAAGGGCCACCCAGAACAGTCGTCCCCGTAGATCCTCCTTTTTCCTGAAGGTTCGTATGTACTCCATGCTGTCCAAGGCCACCAGCACCAGGTAGAGCCCTGGCACACATATGGACAGAAGCAAAGTGAGGGCCTTTCTGGCTACCGTCTCCAAGTTCTTCTTGTCTGCTTTGTAATTCTGAAATATGAAGTACAGCTTAATCTCCAGCACAAAGATGTAGAGGAACCATAGGATCATGGCATAGCCCCGCTTAGCTGTCTTCACCTCAGCCCCCACCCATACCGCCACATAGCGTAGCACGATGAGGAAGCAGATGTCTCCCACCAGAACGATGATGCAGACACCAATCTTCCGAGGGCCTTGGTTCTGCTCCACCAGGTAGGCGTCCATGAAGGCCATGCTGGTCATGATGACAATGGTGGTCAGACACACATGGCGCTTGTCAGGCGGTGGGAGCACCATGGTGAGATGAGCTGGTCTACTGCTTCTTTGCCCCCTTGTATTGCTTCAAGCACAAGGCTGCCTTAGGAGAGAAATCCTGCTGGTTGGTTGAAGAGGGTCAGTGGTGATCAGCAAAGCACCAAGGCCACCAGGCACATCAACCCACTCTTCAATATCAAAGGTCTCAAAAGGCTGAAGGAACAGATCCCTAAACAGCCTCTGCCTTCCAGCATCAGGCAACAGTAGCAGCAGAGAATTCCACTGTATCTTCCACATCAGCCTTCATAAAAGCTGACCCACAATCTTAAATATAGCCAGCTCTGCTATTTAGCCAACACAGTTCTGTCCCCTGGAGCCTCAGTCAGATAGTCCAGTGCATTTCCTATCACTCTCCTCAAAGACTCTGCCAGGTTTAAAAAATGCAGGCCTCTTTAAGAAATTTGATTTCTCTATTCAGGTTTTTCATTGTTCTCAGTAAGAGGGGAAAGAATGCTCTCTGTATAGCTCATGAGCAGCAATTCAGTGTCCCTAATGTGCTTTCTGGAAGCAAGCCTGTAATTCTCATGCAGATCCCTGGAAATCAGTTTAATTATCAAGCAAACAAATCAGATTTGTAGTGCTAGGAACAAGTCAGGGGGGTAACAAGGGAGAAACAGCTTGATAAAGGGTGCCCATCTTTTCCTGAATGGCCCAAAGTCATCAGGAATCACGGTCTTGTGGCCTCCCAGTACCTCTTCTCACTGAAATTCACCTTCACTCTTGCTCTGGCAGAACTGTTGTTTATAATATCCATGACGAATAGTGTTTGCTTTTCTTGAGTCCAAGTTTTAGGTCCTTCAGTGCTGCCTCACACACACTGGGATCTGAAAGAGATGAAGGAGAACACAAAGTAAGGAAGGGCTTGCCAGGTATAGGAGTACAAGGTTGCATTTCTTGATGTCCCTCAGCCTTAGAAACATGTACACCAATACTGGTGTTGGGTAAGGGAAGTCAAGTGCACGTCCCTCTTGCAAGAGAACTCCATTCACTCACAACTTAAATACATGCAAATATTAAGCAAGCCTCTCTTATCCTATTTGTGTAGATCTCTCTCTACTCAGGGAGATGTCTAACACTTTTCTGTCCTTACTACATGGATACTTTAGAAAAGACAAATCAAAGGGGTGAGGAATAGAAATTGCAAGACTGTGGAGCATTCTTTCTCTCACTTGTAAAAGTAAAATAACCCTTGCTGGTTGTAGTGTAAAGATATCAGGTAAAGGCAGGGGTTAGAGACAAGTGCTTTCCCAGGAGATTTGTGTACTTTGATGAAAGTAGTTCCCAGATCAGAAAAAAATATACCAGTTTGGGCTTCAACTGGAAAATTAGGAGACTCCTTTCCTCATTGCATAATACATTTGCTGAAAAATACAGTTTCAGAGTGACCAAAGCTGTTTGCCAATTAGTGTTTCACAGCCATCTAATACATTGAACCTTAGAAAGGGGAACATTCCTTTCAGCAATCTGAGTTTTGACCAAATGGTTGGGAGAACAAAAGGGTTTCAGTTTTTAGCAGTATTTCACACCACTCCAGGAATTAGACTGGTTAAAGACTACATCTGACCACAGATGCATGAGAATACTTTAGTCTCCAAATAGGAATGGCACTGAGTCCTGGGAGTTAACTCCCCTTTGTTAATATCTTTTATGAGTGAATTACCTGTGCTGCTCTTCATTGTTCTGATGTATGTTGTGCCTATCTAATTTATTTTATAACCCCTTAGAAGCAGGAATGAAATCTTTTTGGATGATAGTCAGTCTCTGATGGCTTCAAGATAATGACCATTTTCTTAAACAAAGTAGCGTCTTTCATGATTACAAGTGAGCATGGTGATAGCTTTTTGTTTGGAGATGACATCTTTAGGATCACAGTAGCCCAGGTTATTTGTCTAACTGGTAGGAGAGACTTCTACTTCATGATTTAACAAGCTTTCTCATGTGGAGACGAGAGAGAGAGAGAGAGACCTATGGGATCCTGGAAGGAAGGTTTAATAGGGAAAAAACCTGTTCCAGTCACACATCAGTGAATTTGCCACTCCATAAAATTGCAGAACCAAAACCTACCCTACCTTTCCCTAGTAGTACCCTCTTTCTCCATTTTCTGCAGTAGATGAAACCATGGGTTTAGGGTTGAACAGTACCCTTAGCAAATGGCCACCTCGCCAGAGGTCTCTGGTGTCTGTATTGCAGCCTCACATTTCTAACACTCCTGTAGAGGTCCGGAGCTTACTGAGAATCCGAGCAGGTGAATGCAGCGGATGATGCTGCAGCCACCTCTTTGTTGAGACTCTGATGTTTAGTTTTTGTTTGAGTTTACATGGAAGCAATGCTGCTTGAGCTGACATATTTGCCTGTCAGGCCTGCCGATGTTTTGAAGGTGTAATACCCACTTGCTGAGACCAGAGCACTATTTCATTTGTCTGAGATTGGATCTGGGGTTTGAGGGATGCAAAAGTGCCCTGAGCTGCAACCACGAACATGGACGTGCAAAGCAGCTCCAGCATTTGACAGCCCCCCCCCCAATGTCTGTTTGGATCTGTATTTGAGGGCAGGGGGATCTAAAACCAGGTTACAGCATCCAGCTGCTTTGGGGGGCATCAGTACCATCCTTTTCCCTTTGGCAAATTACAGCCCCATTTATCCCATGCATGATGGCGAATGTGGGAGCCCTGGTGTTCTGGGCAGCTGGGCCTTCCTTCTCTAAGGCCCTTGTTGACAGCATCCAGGTGGGGATGGTATTGAGGGTCTCTACTGCTACCACATCTACTACTATATAGAGGTCCAGGGGCACATAACCCATACCCACCCAGTGTTGTAGGTGGTCTGCTGTTAATAATGACAGCTCACTATGTATGTAGGTCAATAATCCTGTTTTGTTAGAGAAAGTCTTTCAGCTAAGGGCCTGTGCGAAGATGCAAAGATTTCACATGATTTCAGTCCTTGTTGCTCAGTAGGGAAGTATTGTGTTTTATTGTGTTTCCGTGCACTGTCCCTTTAATACCAAAGCCCTCATGTTCAGCACTGCAGGTTCAGTTGCTTGTGGAAGTTTTGCAGCTCTGGGAACTCTATGCTCTCTGCCATGGGGAGCCAGGGGCTTTTTTGGATCCTCTCCCTCCACAGGACTGGGCTGGGTCGAATTAGAGACAGAGCAGGTATAAGATCTGCATACATCTACTGATGCAACTGTTAAGACCCACCCCCCAATATGATTCCAGAGAGTTATAATAATAAATGACTGTTAGTTCAACACAGCAGTGTCCAGAGTGTGTTGCTGAATTCACAACATCTCATCTGGCGATGAGGATGGGATCCTTTGCTGAAAAGAGCCCCCTAGATGGTGGGAAGACATTCTGACACCAGGCTGTGTTTTGTGATCAGGGGGAAGTTTTTTTTAAATTCTTTTCTCTCTATTATGGCTCATGTTAATTAAAATGGCCACATTGGGGCATATAGAAGCATTTGATGTGAGTCAGCTGGCTTCTTGGGACTCTTATGCTGAGAGACTATTCTGTTACCTGGAAGCTAACGAAGTGGAAAACCCAGCACAGAAGTGCGCGATCCTCCTGACAGTCTGTGGTGCCCAAACATTTGCCATTGTTCGTTCCCTCACAGCACCTGCCTTACCAAACACTAAGTCTTATGCTGGACTAATTGCCCTGCTAAAGACACATTTTTGCCCAAGGCCATCTGTTACCCTGCAGAGATTTCATTTTTTTAAATGGGACCAAAAGGCCAATGAAGGCATAGCAAATGAGCTGGCTGAGCTCTGTTGCCTTTGCGAATTTTGTGAGTTTGGTGATCTCCTGGATCGCTTGCTTTGTGACTGTCTTATCTGTGGGGTTCAAGATGAAGCAATCCAACGTTGCCTGCTCTCTGAACCAAATTTGACCTTGGCTGCTGCACAAGAAAAAGCCTTGGCAGCTGAAGCAGCATCCTGTAACGTGAGAGAAATTCACCAGGCGTTCTCCTGCAATGTCCACTTACTCCAAAAAGAGCAAAAACAAGATCATCACCAGCAAATTCAGTGGATTATACCTTTACCAACAGTACCACATAAGCCAATTAATCCACAGACATGTTTGAGTTGTGGTGGCCAACACAGATGAAGGGAGTGCAGGTTTAGGAGTGTGGAGTGTCGTGGCTGTAAGAAGGGACACACAGAGGGTTTGCCGCTGGAAGGCCAGTCCCGGGAGACAAAAAGACTCGGGCAAATGTATTCATTCCCAAACCATCACAGATTAGGGTCCTCCCCAGAACGTGAGGTACAAAAACTGTATTAGATTTAAAATGGTGGTGTTGTTGAAACTCAAGGTTCTGAGATGACTGCAACTGTAGTAATAAATGGAAAGAAGTGCAAAATGGAAGTGGACTTGGGTTCGAGAGTATCCGTCATAGATGAAAACACATTCTTCCAGTTGTTTCGGCACCCTGTCCCCAAGTTATTGAAACCTGAGTGTCATTTGCGTGACTACAATGGACAGTGTGGAAACTTTGGGGAGTTGCAGTGTCGATGTCCAGTATAGATCTGTTAGACAGCATCTACCCCTCATTGTCACTAAGGGCTCCCGCAAAAGTCTTCTGGGTAGAAACTGATTCTTGCCATTGGGAATCAGTATTCAAGGTGTACATAGTCTCTGCACAGAAAGTCTGGAAAGGCTTGCAAGGGAGTTTCCCCAGGTATTCTCTGAGGAATTAGGAATTTACTCTGGTCCACCTGTGACGTTCCAAATGCGATAGCCCCTATCTTTATGAAGGCTTGGAACATACCTTTCGCACTGCGGCCGAAAATTGATGCAGAATTAAATCAGCTTATCGCACAAGGGATCCTCGAGCCAATTGTACATACAAGCTGGGCCACACCAATTGTTCCTGTTTTAAAACCTAATGGCAGTGTTCGCATCTGGGGAATACAAGTGCACTGTTAATAAAGCAGTTAATCAGGATCTGCACCCAGTGCCTGCCATTAACCAGTTACTGTTCTTGCAGAAGGGAAGGTTTTTCCCAAATTAGACCTCGCTTAAGCCTATCAGCAATAGATAGTGGATGAATAGGCTGCTGAGGCCCAAACAATAATTGCACACCGGGGAGCGTTCTGTGTCAAGCGCCTCCTGTTTGGAATTTCTGTGGCACCAGGATTTTTCCAGAGGTTCGTGGAGAAAATGTTAGGGGGAATTCCCGGGGTTGTTCCATACTTTGATGATGTCTTGATTATGGGGGCCATCTAGAGAGAAACTCACTGAGAGACTCAGAGAAGTTTTACAGAGATTTGATAAAGCAGGTATCAGAGTAAAAAGAGAGAAATGTCAACTGGGAGTTTCCGGTATCAACTTTCTGGGATATCATATTGATGCTTCTGGCATTCACTCAGTCGAAGACAAGGTCAAAGCAATACACAATGCCCCTATACCTAAATGCAGACAGGATCTTCAAGCCTTCCTAGTACTTCTCGATTTTTATCACATCTTCTTGAGAGACAAAGCCGCCATAGCAGAGCCACTTCATTGCTTACAGGATAAAGGAGCTCAGTGGAACTGGACTTGACAGCACAACAAAGCCTTCCAGGGCATCAAGAAGTTGCTGACATCAGACTCTGTCCTTGTTCACTATGATGAGCAGAAGCCACTGTCCATTACTTGTAATGCCTCGCTGTTTGGTGATGGCGCTGTCCTCAGGCACACGTCTGATGGCATGGCTTTTTACTCAAGAAAAATGACTTCATCCGAAAGGAACTATGCACAGATTGACAAAGAAGCATTGGCAATCATTGCAGGAGTTAAAAATTTTCACAATTATGTTTGTGGCCGCAAATTCAAAATCCGAACAGACCACAAACCCCTTTTTGGAACTTTTACTACGGACAAACCAACTCCTCCTATTTTGTTTCCCTGTATGCAACACTGGAACATCATGCTAAATGCATATGACTATGCACTCGTGTACAAACCTTGGAAAATGATTGCAAATGCTGCTGCCTACCACTACAAATACCTGATTGTGCTACTTCTTCGCCAGTGGAAGTCCTCATGATGGAATCCATGCCAGTAGCCCCTCTTCAAGATGATCAGATAGCAAGGATAACTGCAAAAGACCCTATCCTTGCCTGTGTCCTCAACTGGGTGTGGAGGGGCTGGCCTGCAGAAAAACTGGCTGAGGAATTCAAGCCATTTTCATCCCATCAGCATAAGCTGTCTGCCCCCGAGGGTTGTCTCTTGTGGGGAAATTGTGCCATAATTCCAGAAGCAGGACACCAAATCATACTGACAACACTGCACACAGCACACCCAGGCGTTGTGAGGATGAAAGCACTGGCTAGAAGTTATGTATGGTGGCCAGGTATGGACAATGACATAGAAGGGGTCATGAGGGAGTACAGCATTTGTCAAGCAACCTGTTATAATCCACTGAAGGCACCAATATTCCCTTGGGAAATTACAGATGAACCCTGGTCACACATCCACATTGATTTTGCTGGCCCTTTTCAAGGTAAGAACTTCTTAATTGTTGTTGACTCATACTCAAAATGGCTTGAAGTGATCACTGTCTCAACTCTTGCACCAACTGCCACTATAACAGCTCTCCATCAGCTGTTTGCAACCCATGGGGTGCCCGACACTATCGTTTCTGATAATGGCAGTGCATTCACCTCAGCAGAGTTCCCAGATTTTGCCAGCCACAACCTCATTCGAACTGTTACCATTGCTCCTTGCAGGCCTCAGGCCAACGGGCAAGCTGAGCAAATGGTGCAGACTACAAAAGATGCACTGAAAAGGATCACTGTAGGAGACTGGCCTACCAGGCTGGCCAGATTTCTGTTTGCTCAACATGTAATTCCTTGCTCTACAACAGGGTCCAGCCCATCAGAACTTCTTATGGGTTGTCATCTCAAGACATGCCTTGACCGTGTTA